TGGAAAGGAGTGACAGAGCTGGACGTCATCTGTGTACAGATAACACCTCACCCCGAAACTCCGGATGATCTCTCCCAACGGCTTCATGTAGATGTTAAATAATCCTGTGCTGCTCCTCTACCTATTCTCTGCTGCATTTCCTCTACTGCATCCTCAGCTCCATTATTCTCAAGTTGTGTACTGTTTACCTTTTCGGAAAAGACTGAGGCAAAGAAGGGGTTCAACGGTTCTGCCTTTTCCCTGTCCCTTGTTAGCATTTTGCCATCGGTGGTGCAGTGGGTTAAACCCCTGTGCCGGCAGGACTGAAGACCGACAGGTCGCAGGTTCGAATCCGGGGAGAGGCGGATGAGCTCCCTCTATCAGCTCCAGCTCTTCATGCGGGGACATGAGAGAAGCCTCCCACAAGGATAAAAACATCAAATCATCCGGGCATCCCCTGGGCAACGTCCTTGCAGACGGCCAATTCTCTCACACCAGAAGCAACTTGCAGTTTCTCAGGTTGCTCCTGACACGACAAAAAAAATTTGTTTTGCCATCACCTGTATGCAGTGGCTCTACCGTTTCCTTGTCTTCATTTTGCTATGGACATTGTCCACTGTATAGCAAACTCTAGAACAAGCATGGGCAAACTTTGGCCCTCCACGTGTTTTGGACTTCAACTCCCACAATTCCTAACACCCTACCAGCTGTTAGGAATTGTGGGAGTTGATGTCCAAAACACGTGGAGGGCCAAAGTTTGCCCATGCGTGCCCTAGAACATGGTAACTTCCACTGAAGGAACCCACAACTTCCACCCCATGAACCAGGTCATCACGGTTGGTTTGGATCAGATCTAAAATAGTTAATCCCCTTGTTGCCTCTTCCATCTACTCAACAATGAAATTGTCTTCAAGGCAACTAAGGAAAATGCCCAGGCCACAGGCTCAAGGTGGATTTGGAAGATCACTCTCAGCCTGATCAATTTTAATTAATGCTGAAGAAAATCCCCCCTTTAGCTGCCGTGAGCGTATCTAAACTATGTAGTTAGCAGCACTTTGATGTTACTTTAACTGCTGTGAATCCATCTTACAAAATTCTGGGTTTTGGAGTTTGGTGCGGTAGAACTAGTGCCATGATTGATAGAATTGGACTTAAGGTGTACAGTATCTACTGTGCATTTTAAATTAATTCATTTGGACACCACTTTAACTGCTATGGCATTGTCGAAGGCTTTCATGGCCCGAATTACTTCTCTGGTCTAATTAGTTTGCAGTGCCTTTCATGTTCCTTGAGTCATGTCTGGGCAATGCTGCTGCATTTGATGTCCCTATGTAGACTTGTCCACAGCTGCATGGTATACAGTATGTTGCAGTAAGTCATAGCAGGCCCAAGTGTGTGTTTGTGTGTTGAAGAAAAACTTTATAGTGTTAATTATCATGTACAGCTGGTAATGTAGGTCAACCAGCAAGCTTGGACCACACCCAATGGGGTTTTTTTTAGAGTACAATGTGGGTATGGGTGTGAGTGCTGGAGAGCTTTTTCTCTGAGGAGATCTATACTCAAAGGCTTTGCTCTGGGGAGCAGCATGGAGAAGCTACTCTGAAGGAGGCTATGGTGGAATAGCTATCTTCTCAAGGTTTATGTTCTTGCTCTGTCATTTGATTTAAGATGAAGATGCCTTATTTTGTGTTACTTACAAAGACTATGTAAGTTTCTTGCACTGATTTTTGTATGCAACATTGCAAGTTTATGTTTCATCTCTGCTGAGTAAACAGTAAAGATTTTTCTGTTCATTTTTCCTCTTGTCTGTGAGTCTATTGCATTTGGACTTTGGGCGCTGAGTAAAATCCGCTGCTGCACAACACGGTAGACTCCTACAGAAGTGAGAGGATCCCTCTTGTCCTTTGCTGAATGTAGCATTTGTTGGATATTCTTAATGGGTTTGTAGATAGTTTGTAGGTTGTGTTTCTTCATCATAGAAGCATAGAATCAAAGAGTTGGAAGAGACCCCATGGGCCATCCAGTCCAACCCCCTGCCAAGAA